TCTTCTTCATTAATTATTTCATCATATCCTTTAATTACTTTAATTTGTTCTTCTAATACTTTTTTTGATTCTGTCATTCTGATATTACATAACCCAACATCACAAATATTTTTTCTTAATTCTAATTTATTTGTAAATGTACGTATTGTATCATAAATATACATAATATATCCATTTCCCATTAGTCCAATAGCTAATATTAACCCCCATGCATTAGATAATGTTAATGCAAACCCAAAATATTCTTGTCCACTTGTTATCAATTCATCTCCTTTAAAGAACCAAAATAATATGAAAAATATTATAAGTAACATAATTAATGTTCCATAAAATATAACATTTCTTTTAATACTTCTGATTAATTTTCTGATAAACGTAAAATCTCCTACAATGCTATAGGTTTGAACTATTGGAAATATTAAATAACATAATCCAAATTGTAAAATATAAATAATCCACCATATAACAATTAATACATTTTGATTAATATATAAAAAGTCTTTTTCCGATCTAAACGTTGACACAATGTCTAATGGCATTAATAATGGACTTAAAAATGCTAAATACCATCCTACAAATGAACAGAGCACAACATACCATCTTGTTTTTAATGGGTTAATATATTTAAAGAGAATTCCTAATGCCATAATTCCTGCTAATATAAAAATTAATACAATAGAAACCCACATTAGACTTAATGTTTTGATTTATGATTTATTTGTCTCTCTTTAAGTTCTTTCATTTTTTTTCTATTTGTCTTTTGTTCTATTTTATTTTTTTGTTGCAATTATTTTTGTGTTAGAATTTTCCTTTTTCTTTTTTGTTTTTCTCTTTTTTGTTTTTTGTTTTTTTCTTTTTCTCTTTTTTCTTTTTTCTTTTTTGTTTTTCTCTTTTTGCTTTTTTTTATTTCAATCTTCCTTAATTTGTTATTCTTTTTTATCATACTTGTTGTATTATTCACTTCTCTTAGACTACTAGATCTTCTAATTCATTCACCATGGAACAACGAAAGTCACACAGAAAAACACCAAAAGGGTTATACATATCTCGTAAGAAAGTTATTAATGCCTCACCAAAAGATTCAAAACGGAATAAGTTGGAAGAACTTCGGAAAGAATATCAAAAAGCAAAGACTGATGTTAATAAACGACAAGCATCAATTGTGGTGATTAGTGGAAAAGACTTAGAAAATCAACGAAAAGAAAAGAAAGAAGAAAAGATTCAAAAACAAAAAAATAAACAAAAAGAAGGTCGAAAGAAACAAAACATCGTTAATACAAATGCACAATGCATTTCACAAGAATTATATGATACAATTAAAGAAGAAGAAAGAAACAAATATATTGTTAGTTCATTAGCAATGTATAATTTAGGGGAATATTTTAGTAATAACCAAGAAAGGCTTATTCCAAAAATCAGAAAGTCAAGACACAACAAAGGAAGAAAAGAGGAAGAAATTAATATGGAGAGTATTGAAGAAATAATGGAGGAGTATAAAGAAATTAAAGGATTTACAAGATATGTTAAAAAGAGTCTTAGTGAAATGATAGAGAAAGGAAAAAAATATGGAGTTAATAAAGAAATAATAGTTAAAGTTGTAATGAAAAATTGTGGGAGTTATTTTGTTAAGAATTTAGGAAGAAGATGTTCTAAGTATATAAGAAAAATGAAAGAGAAAGAAGAAGAGACATT